ACAACCCTTCCTCAGCCCTCTGGACAACAGTTTTGGTAATCCCGCACCTCCTCCTAACTTCCAAACTACGAATTCTCTGCATTATATTCACACCACACATTGCCCTCAGACATGACATCTCCACTGCCTCCAGCCTTCTCCTCGCTGCAACATTCATCACCCACGCTTCACACCCATATAGAGCGTTGGTAAAACTATACTCTCATACATTCCCCTCTTTGCCTCCAAGGACAAAGTTCTTTGTCTCCACAGACTCCTAAGTGCACCATCACTCTTTTTCCCTCATCAATTCTATGATTCACCTCATCTTTCATAGACCCATCCGCTGACACGTCCACTCCCAAATATCTGAATACGTTCACCTCCTCCATACTCTCTCCCTCCAATCTGATATTCAATCTTTCATCACCTAATCTTTTTGTTATCCTCATAACCTTACTCTTTCCTGTATTCACCTTTAATTTTCTTCTTTTGCACACCCTACCAAATTCATCCACCAATCTCTGCAACTTCTCTTCAGAATCTCCCAAGAGCACAGTGTCATCGGCAAAGAGCAGCTGTGACAACTCCCACTTTGTGTGTGATTCTTTATCTTTTAACTCCACGCCTCTTGCCAAGACCCTCGCATTTACTTCTCTTACAACCCCATCTATAAATATATTAAACAACCACGGTGACATCACACATCCTTGTCTAAGGCCTACTTTTACTGGGAAAAAATTTCCCTCTTTCCTACATACTCTAACTTGAGCCTCACTATCCTCGTAAAAACTCTTCACTGCTTTCAGTAACCTACCTCCTACACCATACACTTGCAACATCTGCCACATTGCCCCCCTATCCACCCTGTCATACGCCTTTTCCAAATCCATAAATGCCACAAAGACCTCTTTAGCCTTATCTAAATACTGTTCACTTATATGTTTCACTGTAAAACCTGGTCCACACACCCCCTACCTTTCCTAAAGCCTCCTTGTTCATCTGCTATCCTATTCTCCGTTCTTACTCTTAATTCTTTCAATTATAACTCTACCATACACTTTACCAGGTACACTCAACAGACTTATCCCCCTATAATTTTTGCACTCTCTTTTATCCCCTTTGCCTTTATACAAAGGAACTATCATGCTCTCTGCCAATCCCTAGGTACCTTACCCTCTTCCATACATTTATTAAATAATTGCACCAACCACTCCAAAACTATATCCCCACCTGCTTTTAACATTTCTATCTTTATCCCATCAATCCCGGCTGCCTTACCCCTTTCATTTTACCTACTGCCTCACGAACTTCCCCACACTCCACAACTGGCTCTTCCTCACTCCTACAAGATGTTATTCCTCCTTGCCCTATACACGAAATCACAGCTTCCCTATCTTCATCAACATTTAACAATTCCTCAAAATATTCCTTCCATCTTCCCAATACCTCTACCTCTCCATTTAATAACTCTCCTCTCCTATTTTTAACTGACAAATCCATTTGTTCTCTAGGCTTTCTTAACTTGTTAATCTCACTCCAAAACTTTTTCTTATTTTCAACAAAATTTGTTGATAACATCTCACCCACTCTCTCATTTGCTCTCTTTTTACATTGCTTCACCACTCTCTTAACTTCTCTCTTTTTCTCCATATACTCTTCCCTCCTTGCATCACTTCTACTTTGTAAAAACTTCTCATATGCTAACTTTTTCTCCCTTACTACTCTCTTTACATCATCATTCCACCAATCGCTTCCTCTTCCCTCCTGCACCCACTTTCCTGTAACCACAAACTTCTGCTGAACACTCTAACACTACATTTTTAAACCTACCCCATACCTCTTCGACCCCATTGCCTATGCTCTCATTAGCCCATCTATCCTCCAATAGCTGTTTATATCTTACCCTAACTGCCTCCTCTTTTAGTTTATAAACCTTCACCTCTCTCTTCCCTGATGCTTCTATTCTCCTTGTATCCCATCTACCTTTTACTCTCGTGTAGCTACAACTAGAAAGTGATCTGATATATCTGTGGCCCCTCTATAAACATGTACATCCTGAAGTCTACTCAACAGTCTTTTATCTACCAATACAAATCCAACAAACTACTGTCATTTCGCCCTACATCATATCGTGTATACTTATTTATCCTCTTTTTCTTAAAATATGTATTACCTATAACTAAACCCCTTTCTATACAAAGTTCAATCAAAGGGCTCCCATTATCATTTACACCTGGCACCCCAAACTTACCTACCACACCCTCTCTAAAAGTTTCTCCTACTTTAGCATTCAAGTCCCCTACCAAATTACTCCCCTCACTTGGTTCAAAGGCTCCTATACATTCACTTAACATCTCCCAAAATCTCTCTCTCTCCTCTGCATTCCTCTCTTCTCCAGGTGCATACACGCTTATTATGACCCACTTCTCGCATCCAACCTTTACTTTAATCACATAATTCTTGAATTTACACATTCATATTCTCTTTTCTCCTTCCATAACTGATCATTTAACATTACTGCTACCCCCTTCCTTTGCTCTAACTCTCTCAGATACTCCAGATTTAATCCCATTTATTTCCCCCCACTGAAACTCTCCTACCCCCTTCAGCTTTGTTTCGCTTAGGGCCAGGACATCCAACTTCTTTTCATTCTAACAACAACATCTGTTTTCTTGCATCCGCACACTTCCACGCACATTTAAGAAAACCCATTTTTATAAAGTTTTTTTCTTCTTTTTTTTAGTAATTTTATACAGGAAAAGGGGTTTACTAGCCCATTGCCCCGGCATTTTAGTCGCCTCATACACACGCAGGTTACGGAGGAAAGATTTTTTTCCCCATTTCCCAGGGACAATAGAAAAAATAAAAAAGAACAAGACTTTTAGAAAAAGGAGAAAAACCAGGGGATTTTTTAAATAATATGCATGGCTTTCTGTGAAGTGTGCCCAAAAGTGTAAGGGGGTAGAAAGATACCCCTTTTACTTAGCGTGTTTATGAACAGAAAAGAAACCACAACCTACCATCATGCAAAACATTACAGGTTTTTGTTTCCCAGTCATCCAACGGTAGTACTTCCCTGGGTGGTTGCTGTCTACCAACCCCTACCTATAACTCAACAGATTTACCCCCCAAAATTTTTTGCACTCCTTTTGTCCCTTTGCTTTATAAAAGGAACAAAGCATGCTTTTGCCAATCCCTGGGTCCCTTTACCCTTCCATACATTTTTTAAAAATAATTGCCCAAACCATTCCAAAAACTATCCCCCACCTTTTTTAACTTCCCCTATCTTTATCCCATAAATCCCGGCTCCTTACCCCCCTTTCTTTTACCAAATGCCTCACGAATTCCCCCACACCACAACTGCTTTTCCCTCACTCCTAAAAATGTTTTCCTCCTTGCCCTAACACGAAATCACAGTTTCCCCTATCTCCAACATTTAACAATTCCTCAAAAAATTTTCCCCATCTTCCCCAAAACCTTAACTCTCCATTTAATAAATCTCCTTCTTTTTTAACTGGGCAAATCCATTTGTTCTCCAGGCTTCCTTAACTTGTTAATCTCACTCCAAAACTTTTTCTTATTTTCAACAAAATTTGTTGATAACATCTCACCCACTCTCTCATTTGCTCTCTTTTTACATTGCTTCACCACTCTCTTAACCTCTCTCTTTTTCTCCATATACTCTTCCCTGCTGTTGGGAAGAATTATAACTTTGTTGGGAGTGGTGTTGATGCGTGGAGAATTAATGATCTGAAGAGCTCTTCAGTGAACTCATTTACGCATGTAGGAACGATAACTTGAACAACGCTACACAACGCCTGTGTACAACACCGAAATTCCACCAATCACCTCATGAAATTCAGAGACGCCCAATTAGTGATCAAAGAAACTAATTTCCGCAGACGCAAGTGCCTCGAATCAGCACTGATCGCTGTTTCGAATACAATTAAACAAAACAACGGCAGCTTCACCATCTCTGCAGTCTTAGCAAGAATCCTCCTGAAAACAGTAAACCCTGCCATCACATAGTCTCTCCTGTTATACTACACAAAGCACATTACAGAGAGTGAACACTGAAACAACCTGCCTCTTTCCAGTCTATATTTGTCCAACCTATTTTTATGTTACCCAAGTAATAGTTTTTATATCCTTTTACTCATGTACGAATTAATTGCTCTACCATATTGTATTACTTTTGTCACTACTACTACTACCACTAGTTAACATCAAAATGGTACCTCACTAGTATTGCACCTCACTCTGAGCCTATATATACCCTCTGTGTCCATGTATTGTTTGTAACGGCTTGACAAAGCTCCTGGAGAGCGAAACGTTGCCACAATAAAATGTCACATTAGTTGCACTTGTGTCCTTTTACTTTACATATTGTCGGTAATTCTACCAACTTTATTACAACAACAGCCTCCAATAAAGGTAACTGTCATGTTGAATGTTCATTCTTTTGTGCATGTAAATCTATCTTTTAGGTAAAAAATTTTTTTTTGTTGATACTTCTAGGTGTCTGGAACGAATTAATTGGATTTACATTATTTCTTATGGGGAAAATTGATTCGAAAATCGTCCATTTCGATAATAGTCCCACTTCCAGGAACGGATTATGGACGATTATTGAGGGACCACTGTGTTGTGGTGTGTGTGTGTGTGTGTGTGTGTGTGTGTGTGTGTATATATATATTTATATATATATATATATACACATACATACATACACACACACACACACACACACACACACACACACACACACACACACACACACACACACACACACACACACACACACACCCCACACACACACACACACACACACAACTTGCAGATTCAGTTTCAGACCAGGAAAAAGTAGGACTTCCAATGTATAGCTTGAAACATATCTCACAAAAGGAGTCTCTGTACTGTATCTGCCTAAAATCAAATATCTGTATCAGCAAAAAATTTGCCACAGCCCCAATATCCAATTCTAATACTAAATCAAAATACATTACCATACAACTTACCTTCACCATGTTCCTCGACAAACTGGAATGCTTGCACAAGACGCAGAGTCTCATCTACATCACGTCCAACGGGTAAATCATTGATTGTTGCCTAAAAGAAAACAAAATGAAAATTTCAACTTTCTTGAAACTGCACTGACAAATATATACAAGTGCACACACTCCTGATTTAACCCCTTCAGGGTCCAAGGCCAAAATCTGAAGTGGTGCTCCAGTGTCCAAGAAATTTTGAAAAAAAAAAAAAAAAAAAAAATTATTTTTTCTTACAGAATTAAAGAGCATATTTTTGTGAAGGTAATAAGACAAAAAAAAAATTTTCTGATCAGTACTTACCGAGATACAGTGCCAAGAAGTTTGTCCAAAATGATGTGGTGGCGGCAACATCGACGAATTCCACATATGCGCATTACATTATTTAGCGGTTTTTATAGTTTTTTATTTTCTTTTCCAATTTTTTTTCTTTTCCTACTAACATTTGGGGGCCTGAGAGACCAATACTGTATATAATGTACAGTGGACCCTCAACCAGCGATTGCATCGATTAACGATAAATCTGACTAGCGATTCATTTAAACGCAAAAATTTTGCCTCGACTAGCGCTTAAAAACCCGACCAGCGCTTTTCGTTCCGTCCCATACGCGTCCACTTTGGCCTGAGCGCACCTCACTTGTCCCTTTGGTGCCAGTGTTTACAAGGCAGCCAGCCACCGCGGTCGCTTCCAAACATACAACTGGAACATTTCATATTATCACAGCCTTTTTAGTGATTGCACCTGCAAAATAAGTCACCATGGGCCCCAAGAAAGCTTCTAGTGCCAACCCTACAGCAAAAAGGGTGAGAAATTATATGGAGATGAAAGAAAGAGATCACTGATAAATATGAAAGTGGAGTGCGTATCTCTGAGCTGGTCAGGTTGTATAATAAACTCCAATCAACCATTGCTACTATTGTGGGCAAGAAAACGGCAATCAAGGAAGCTGTTCTTGCCAAAGGTGCAACTATGTTTTCGAAACCGAGATCGCAAGTACTCGAAGATGTTTAGAGACTGTTATTGGTGTGGATAAACGAGAAACAGATAGCAGGAGACAGTATCTCTCAAGCGATCATATGTGAATAGGCTAGGAAGTTGCATGACGATTTAATTAAAAAAAATGCCAGCAACTAGTGATGTGAGTAAATTTAAGGCCAGCAAAGGTTGGTTTGAGAGATTTAAGAAGCGTAGTGGCATTCATAGTGTGATAAGGCATGGTGAGGCTGCCAGTTCGGACCACAAAGCGGCTGAAAAATATGTGCAGGACTTCAAGGAAAAACATAGACAGGAAGGACTGAAACCTGAAAGTGTTTAATTGTGACGAAACAAAGGCTGTTTTTGGAAGAAAATGCCAAGCAGGACGTACATTACTCAGGAGGAAAAGGCATCCCAGGACATAAGCCTATGAAAGACAGGCTTACTTTGTTGATGTGTGCCAATGCTAGTGGTGATTGCAAAGTGAAGCCTTTATTGGTGTATCACTCTGAAACCCCAGAGTGTTCAGGAAAAACAACGTCCTCAAGGCTAATTTGTGTGTGCTGTGGAGGGCAAACAGTAAGGCATGGGTCACTAGGGACTTTTTCTATGGGCTGGTTACACCCTGCATTTGCCCCCGATGTGAAAAATTACCTAATTGAAAAGAAATTAGACCTTAAGTGCCTCCTGGGATTAGACAATGCCCTGGTCATCCTACAGACGTGGAGGCGACTTTCTAGGACATGAGCTTCATTAAGGTGAAGTTTTTGCCTCCTAATACCACTCCTCTCCTGCAGCCCATGGAGCAGCAGGTTTTTTCCAACTTCAAGAAACTGTAACAAAGCTATGTTTGAAAGGTGCTTTGTAGTGCCCTCAAACTCAACTGACTCTATGAGAGTTTTGGAAAGATCATTTTACCATCCTCAATTTGTGTAAACCTATAGGTAGGCTTGGAAGGAAGTGACTAAGAGGACATTGAACTCTGCTTGGAAAAAACTGTGGCCAGAATGTGTAGAAAAAAAGGGATCTTGAAGGGTTTGGGCTAACCCTGAGAATCCTATGCCGTTGGGAATCCATTGTGGCATTGGGGAAGTCCTTGGGGTTGGAGGTTAGTGGGGAGGATGTGGAAGAGTTGGTGGTGGAGGACAGTGAAGAACTAACCACTGATGAGCTGCTAGATCATCTTGAACAGCAAGAGGGCAGACCTGAGGAAACTGCTTTGGAGGAGGGGAGAGAGAAATTGAAGAAGTTGCCTACTTCTAAGATTAAGGAAGTCTGTGCAATGTGGCTTAAAGTGCAAAGCTTTATGGATGATAATCACCCTGACACAGCTACTGCAAGCCGTGTTGGCAACGTGTACACTGACAATGTTGTGAACCACTTTAGTTATAAACTAAAAGAGGAGGCAGTTAGGGTAAGATATAAACAGCTATTGGAGGATAGATGGGCTAATGAGAGCATAGGCAATGGGGTTGAAGAGGTATGGGGTAGGTTTAAAAATGTAGTGTTAGTGTTCAGCAGAAGTTTGTGGTTACAGGTGGAATGATTGGTAGAATGATGATGTAAAGAGAGTAGTAAGGGAGAAAAAGTTAGCATATGAGAAGTTTTTACAAAGTAGAAATGATGCAAGGAGGGAAGGTTATGGAGAAAAAGAGAGAGGTTAAGAGAGTGGTGAAGCAATGTAAAAAGAGAGCAAATGAGAGAGTGGGTGATATGTTATTTAACAAATTTTTTTTGAAAATAAGAAAAAGTTTTGGAGTGAGATTAAAAAAGTTTAAGAAAGCCTAGAGAACAAATGGATTTGTCAGTTAAAAATAGGAGAGGAGAGTTATTTAAAAGGAGAGTTAGAGGTATTGGGAGATGGAGGGAAATTTTGAGGAATTGTTAAATGTTGATGAAGATAGGGAAACTGTGATTTCGTGTATAGGGCAAGGAGGAACAACATCTTGTAGGAGTGAGGAAGAGCCAGTTGTGAGTGTGGGGGAAGTTCGTGAGGCAGTAGGTAAAATGAAAGGGGGTAAGGCAGCCGGGATTGATGGGATAAAGATAGAAATGTTAAAAGCAGGTGGGGATATAGTTTTGGAGTGCTTGGTGCAATTATTTAATAAATGTATGGAAGAGGGTAAGGTACCTAGGGATTGGCAGAGAGCATGCATAGTTCCTTTGTATAAAGGCAAAGGTGACAAAAGAGTGCAAAAATTATAGGGGGATAAGTCTGTTGAGTATACCTGGTAAAGTGTATGGTAGAGTTATAATTGAAAGAATTAAGAGTAAGACGGAAAATAGGATAGCAGATGAACAAGGAGGCTTTAGGAAAGATAGGAGGTGTGTGGACCAGGTGTTTACAGTGAAACATATAAGTGAACAGTATTTAGATAAGGCTAAAGAGGTCTTTGTGGCATTTATGGATTTGGAAAAGGCGTATGACAGGGTGGATAGGGGGGCAATGTGGCAGATGTTGCAAGTGTATGGTGTAGGAGGTAGGTTACTGAAAGCAGTGAAGAGTTTTTACGAGGATAGTGAGGCTCAAGTTAGAGTATGTAGGAAAGAGGGAAATTTTTTCTCAGTAAAAGTAGGCCTTAGACAAGGATGTGTGATGTCACCGTGGTTGTTTAATATATTTATAGATGGGGTTGTAAGAGAAGTAAATGCGAGGGTCTTGGCAAGAGGCGTGGAGTTAAAAGATAAAGAATCACACACAAAGTGGGAGTTGTCACAGCTGCTCTTTGCTGATGACACTGTGCTCTTGGGAGATTCTGAAGAGAAGTTGCAGAGATTGGTGGATGAATTTGGTAGGGTGTGCAAAAGAAGAAAATTAAAGGTGAATACAGGAAAGAGTAAGGTTATAAGGATAACAAAAAGATTAGGTGATGAAAGATTGAATATCAGATTGGAGGGAGAGAGTATGGAGGAGGTGAACGTATTCAGATATCTGGGAGTGGACGTGTCAGCAGATGGGTCTATGAAAGATGAGGTGAATCATAGAATTGATGAGGGAAAAAGAGTGAGTGGTGCACTTAGGAGTCTGTGGAGACAAAGAACTTTGTCCTTGGAGGCAAAGAGGGGAATGTATGAGAGTATAGTTTTACCAACGCTCTTATATGGGTGTGAAGCATGGGTGATGAATGTTGCAGCGAGGAGAAGGCTGGAGGCAGTGGAGATGTCATGTCTGAGGGCAATGTGTGGTGTGAATATCATGCAGAGAATTCGTAGTTTGGAAGTTAGGAGGAGGTGCGGGATTACCAAAACTGTTGTCCAGAGGGCTGAGGAAGGGTTGTTGAGGTGGTTCGGACATGTGGAGAGAATGGAGCGAAACAGAATAACTTCAAGAGTGTATCAGTCTGTAGTGGAAGGAAGGCGGGGTAGGGGGCGGCCTAGGAAAAGTTGGAGAGAGGGGGTAAAGGAGGTTTTGTGTGCGAGGGGCTTGGACTTCCAGCAGGCATGCGTGAGCGTGTTTGATAGGAGTGAATGGAGACAAATGGTTTTTAATACTTGACGTGCTGTTGGAGTGTGAGCAAAGTAACATTTATAAAGGGGTTCAGGGAAACCGGCAGGCCGGACTTGAGTCCTGGAGATGGGAAGTACAGTGCCTGCACTCTGAAGGAGGGGTGTTAATGTTGCAGTTTAAAAACTGTAGTGTAAAGCACCCTTCTGGCAAGACAGTGATGGAGTGAATGATGGTGAAAGTTTTTCTTTTTCGGGCCACCCTGCCTTGGTGGGAATTGGCCGGTGTGATAAAAAAAAAAAAAAAAATTTCATGTGGTAAAAAAAATTTTTTTTTCAATACTTTGGGGTGTCTTGCACGGATTAATTTGATTTCCATTATTTCTTATAGGGAAAATTAACTTGACTAACGATTATTTTGATTAACGATGAGCTCTCAGGAACGGATTAATATCGCTGGTTGAGGGTCCACTGTATATTGTGTGTGAGTGGGGTGGGGTGGCCTGGCTGGTTATCATACCTACCACACAACTTACAACAAACACTACTCACTCCTCACCCTACATTAAGACTACAAATATTTTGAGATAAGTAATGAGTGTACTGTGTGTGTATTTTATTTTTTCTTGTTTTTTAATGCC